TGCGACATAGAGTGGCGTTTGGGCACCATCTTTTGGTGTCTTCAGTATAAACCATCTGTAAGAAACAAAATTTATCAAAAATAAATTACTTACTTAACAAAATTACTTACTTAACCATTCTATCAAAAATAAATTACTTACTTAACAAAATTACCTGCAGATCTGTACAAAGAAAACAAAAAAGAAGCAAAACCATACGCAAACGGTGCCAACAGAACGTTGAGTGGTTTTCTAGCCAACGGTGTGTATCGCACCAAACGAGTATAGCAAAGTCCTGGATGACAGGCGTTAATCGTTACACTCGACGCTTCTTCGGCTCGTAGACGTTTCGTTAGTTCATGTGCATGCATCACCTTGAAATTATTTTATCTCAACTGAACACTTAATTTCTCAGATTTTCGAACCACCCTTCAATTTCACTTATGAAAAATGCAATTTTACACAAAACGCTTAGCCTAATCAGTGCCCGAATTTCCCAGACTGAACTCAATGAAACCAGAATAACCGCAAAAAATGATAACATCATAACTTCACAAGATTGAAATCTTTCTCTACACTGATAGATAGACGTCACTTACTTATTGTGATGGAAAATCTAAATTTGATATATAGAGATAAGAGAGTTATCTATGGACGATCTTATTTGAGTAGCAGTTACTGATGGAATGAATAAATGAGTTAATGAACAATTCACGAGGAAAATGTTAGCTGAAATGAATAGAACACAACGAATGTAATAAATACCAGGGCGAGTTTTGATTTCGCATACGACTGCCTTGAATCCCATCCGTAACGTCGATCAATGGTCTCCAAATCTATTGGATCCGAATAGAAATGCGCCAGTGCCGAAACGTTCACAATCCGCGCGGCTGGTGCGGCTTTTAGAAGAGGTTTGAGAAGTTCGGTCAGCATGAAATGACCTGGGAATTGATTCCATTCAAATTCATCAATAAAACTTTTAAACTGCTGAATTTACTAATTGATACTAAACGATTCCGTTGACTGAAATTAAAAAGAGAGAAAAAGAAACGAACCCAAATAATTGGTTTGCCAAACCAATTCGTGCCCATCGTCGGTTAACTTAAATTTCGGATACATCATAACCGCTGCGTTATTCACCAATATGTCCAATTTGCTTTCTTCTATAAAAACAATATTGTTGACTAGAGAATTTCTGAAGAACAATAAAAAGGATACGATTTAATCATATCAGAATTTTACTATAAAATATTCTCTTTAATTCAATTCGTACATTCCCATAAACCGTTGAGACACTTTCGAAGACATATCCACAGATTATTGATAACTGTCGCGACAGCAACTCTTCCCCCTCTCACTCATTGCAGAATAACTCCTTCGTCACAAATGAAAATTTTTCAACGTCACAGAGATCATTTGCTGAACGACATCGTTCTTGTTGCTTCAAAAAACCGATATAAAATGCAAGACGAACTCCAAACCAACCCGCAATAATCTGTTTGGCTGCGTTACGAACAGTCGAAAATTTCGTCAAGTCCATGAGCACAATGATCAAACGATCTGGAGAG